ATTCCTTCTCTAAGATGGTACATTTATGAACTGAGAAGTTAAGAGAATAATTCTGTTCTCAGCCAGTCTCTGTCCAACCCTGTGAATTTCTTAGACATGGGAGACTTCTGGCCTTAATTGTACTCTGAATCTGTCAGCTTCAGAATCAAAGCATATAGGGATGGGGTCAGGGCTGTGGCTCAGGGGGTTAAAGCCCCCAGCCTGCAGTGCCAGCATCCCTTATGGGCGCCAGTTGGAGTCCTGGCTGCTGCATTTCCAATCCCTGCTAATGCTCCTGGGAAAAAGCAGTGGAGGATGGTCCAAACACTTGGGCCCCTGCACCCACATGGGGGACCTAGAAGAAGCTCCTGGCTCCTGGCTTCAGCTTGGCTCAGTCATGGCTATTGAAGGCATTTGGAGAGTGAATCAGCAGATGAAAGATCTCTCTCTCTCTCTCTTTTTCTCTCTCTCTGTAACTCTGCCTTTCAAAGATATAAATACATCTTTAAAAAACTGCATGTGGGACTTTTGAGCCTCTTTTGGGACCAGGGACAGGACTCTGAGCTTGAGCTTAAGCAGAAATCTTCCTCAGGGCATCTGTTCAAGAGACTAGTCCTCCACCTGCTCAACAGTCCCACGCCATCCTGTTGCTTCCCAAGCTCTCCTAGAAAGTTCGATTGAAGTGCTCTTTGCTTTGGAAGCTACTTACATTTCATGTTAATGGAGAGAGAAAAAGTCCCATTCTTTGAATGACTTGATAGGAAGTCTTATCTGCCATCTATAAAATCATGCAGAAGTTAAGTCCTATGATTTGAAAACCACCTGACTCGGTACAAGGAGTTGGTACTGTAGGAAACTGTGATGCTCGAAGGAATGTAGTGTCATTCCAACAGTTGATTAAATTATGTTTTGGTCTTGGAGTGACTGGGGTACAGACAGTGGTCAGGAGAGGGGCCCAAACTGATGACATAGAGGGAAGACAGCAAGCATTTATTTGCTATCCAGGGAGAAAGGAAATAATAGCCAGGCAAATAAGGAAGCAATGTATGACACGTATGGTATTCAGCTGTTCAGGCATTTGAGATCTAAAGCACTGTCTAGGGTGGCAGCTGTCCACTTCATGTTGATCTGAAGGAGGTAGGGTACCTGTTTCCTTCCTACAGTGTCTGCTCCTGGGGGATTCCCAGGAATCCCAGTTGGAGTTCTGCAGTTCAGCTGGCTTCCATTCTATGGAACCTTGGTGTTCTCCCCACTGGATGAGGTGATGCCAAGCAGGCCTCCTTTGTAATTTGGCCGTAATGTGGTGGTCGGTGAGAACTGTTCTTTTCTTCAGGTTTGGAAGCTGCCTTCGCACGATGTCTCTTTCAGACTTTTCCAAGTTTCAGATCATATGGGCAGTGACTAGGGAGATGCCAAGAAAAGGCTGCCATGTACTTGGAAGGATACGATTGAGAACACTGCATTGTCCCCTGACAAGCTTAAGTGCTAACTTTTTGAACAGGGCATAGTCTGAGATTGCAGGAGATATTCAAAGACACATAATCTGTCCAGTTATCAACTCATAAATGGGGAGTCGATTATCCCACGAAGGAGCTGATGTCTTGTTCATTAAGGCCACAAGCAGCCCCTTAGAGTACATTGACAACTTCAGTTGCAAAATATCCTTTGCCCTATTGATGTGTCTTCAAGATTAAGGAAGGTAAAAGTTATAAAGTCTTTAATCAGCAAAGTTTTGCAGTTACTCAGTTGCAACTGCAGTGATTTTTGAATTTTTCTGTGAGAGGAAAGATGGGTTGAAATTCCGCAAGTAAGGAACATAAAGTGGTCTTTTAGCTAGTACAGGAACTGCTGCTTTGACAAAGAAGAATCTGCACCCATCTCAAGAAGCAGCAAAACATGACCAGAATATATTTCCAATGTACCAGAGGGAGCAATCACATTAAGTCCATATGGGAATGCTCTGAGGGGTCCTGAACCCCAGCTTGTGTCCTTGTCTCCTGCTTAGTTTTCTCAGCATTTTGGTGGTAGCAGATGAAGCATGAACCAGAAACATCTCCATAGCTTCAGGAGAGATTCCTCACCAATGCCGATCAAGAACAGTCACAATTTGTCCTACCTGGAGGCATCAGTTCATGGCAGAATCTTCCAGGGTTCGATTCCAGGTCTCCTGGTACCAACAGCCTGTCCTGAGTATGAGAGGTCATTTTCTTACTCCATGCAGCCAGATCTTTCCTGAGGTCTCTTTTCCAGTTTCTGAGATGCTTCTTGACTTTTGACGCATTGATGTTTCTAGACATTCCCAGTACGTGGCTATGAGAAGTTTTAAGGGCCATGATGCTAGTAAGGGCCATCTACTTGGCAGTATTCACCCCAAAATTTGCTGTTTTAATTCAACAATCAGTGTCCAACCTGGACTTCCCATGGGACTTTGGAATACCTCTGTTTGAGGTATAGATGGTTCCAGAACCGGGTGAACAAAAGTTAAGCAATCAGGAGGTTATCTTTCTGCAGACCGAGGACTAGGGATCTTGCGGCTATGGCTGTGGATTAAACGGGTGAGGCAGAAAGTAACAAAATGTCATGGGAGCTCCGTGTGTCCAAAGCAGTGCTGCATATGCTCAGTGAGCAGTGTGCTCGCAGAGCACAAGGACCGTAATTACAGCAGCCCTCAGGGTAAGCTGGCAGAGGTCTCCAGACCCTTGGCTGATGGTGTTGTCCTGAGACAAGGAAGACAGATGCAGTAACCACCATCCAACAAAGTCACTGGAATTTGGAACAGTCTTCCGTAAAGCCCTTCAAGCGGCTAAGTGTTACTTGTAAGGTTATGAGGGGAAAATGTTTTTGTAATTCCCTTATACATTTCCAAAGTAGTACTTGAAGTACTACAGGAGTACCCTTGATCTAGACACAGTTGTTGTTCTGGTTTCTGTTTACAAAAATGAAATTACTAGGAGGAAAGGGAGAGCCTTCTTAGAGGACAAAACTTGTGAACTTCAGTTTTAAAATACAGGCTGCATTTGTGTTTGGGGTGGGGCAGGGGGACTACTTTTCATTTCTTTAAGTCTGAAATTCACTGGTGAATGGAGGAAGAACATGAGTAGGGTCCCCACACATGGAGTGACTGTATGGAAGGGCGGGAATGGACGGCACATGTCTTGATGCCCACCGCCTCCCACTGGATGCTTGGCGGTGAACAGGTGCTTCCCAGCACCACCAGAGATGGCGTCAGCCTAGATTACTGGTACTAATGAGAGCAGACACCTTGCAAGTCCATGTGCTAGACACTGTTTACAACACTAATACATGCATACCACCCTACTATCCCCCACTTAATAGTAGAGAGAATTGAGACACAGCAAGATGGAGTCATTTTATCCAAGATCATGCACTAAGGTGGGAGAACCAGGATTTTCCCCATGTTTTGTAAGTTTCTTTTTAAGATTTTATTTATTTATTTGAGAGGTAGAGTTACAGATAGTGAGAGGAAGAGATGAGAGAAAGGTCTTCCATCTGCTGCTTCACTCCTCAAATGGCTGCAACAGCTGGAGCTGTGTCGATCTGAAGCTAGGAGCCAGGTGCTTCTTCCTGGTCTCCCACGTGGGTATAGGGGCCCAAGCACTTGGGCCATCCTCCACTGCTTTCCCAGGCCACAGCAGAGACCTGGACTGGAAAAGGAGCAGCTAGGTCTAGAACTGGTGCCCACATGGGATGCTGGCGCCTCAGGTGGAGGATCAACCTAGTGCGCCACGGCACCAGCCCCTTGTAAGTTTTAAATAAACAAAAATGTAAAAGAATAGTATAATAAAGATGCATAACTGACCGAGGCCTGGCAACTGTGAGAATTCCAAACTTGACTTACATGTTCATCTCTGTGTACTCTGCTGTGACAAGGCAATGTGTCAGACCTCAGGAATGTCATCCCTACACAACACATTTAAGTCCAGGAGACTTAGTAATAATTCCTTGATCTCTAAGTAGTTTAGGGCTGAGTGTTTCATACAGATGCCCTCTCATGTCACATGAGTGACATCTGACATGGCTGTTTTTCACAATGATTTAGGCTTAAGAAACCAAGACATTGGGTTAAACCTGCAGTGCTCGCATCCCATATAGGCGCTGGTTCGAAACCGGGCTGCTCCAATTCTGATCCAGCTCCCTGCCGATGGCCTGGGAAAGTAGAAGATGGCCCAAGTCCTTGAGCCCTGGCATCTGCATGGGAGACTGAGAGGAAGCTCCTGGCTCCTGGCTTCAGATCAGTGCAGCTCTGGCCGTTGCCGCCAATTGGGGAGTGAACCAGCAGATGGAAGACCTCTCTCTCTCTCTCTCTGCCTCTCCTCTCTGTGTAACTCTTTCAAATAAATAAATAAATCTTAAAAAAAAAGAGAGCAGACCATCTGCCTTTCCCTTCATGGTATTGTCCATGTTCTAGAGATGGTAAAACTGAAGCTAGATGAAATCACCCTGGGCCGGCGCCGTGGCTTAATAGGCTAATCCTCTGCCTGCGGCGCTGGCACCCTGGGTTCTAGTCCCGGTCGGGACGCCGGATTCCGTCCCGGTCGCTCCTCTTCATGTCCAGCTCTCTGCTGTGGCCCGGGAAGGCAATGGAGGATGGCTCAAGTCCTTGACCCCTGCACCCGCATGGGAGACCAGGAGAAGCACCTGGCTCCTGGATTCGGATCAGCGCGGTGTGCCAGCCATGGCGCCCATTGGAGGGTGAACCAACGGCAAAAGGAAGACCTTTCTTTCTGTCTCTCTCTCACTGTCCACTCTGCCTATCAAAAAAAAAAATCACGCTGCTGTGCTTCAGTTTCCATGTTGTGCATGTTTTGGCAATAGCTAATGGCCCATCTGAGTAACTGGGACGGAGTGTGTGACCTACAGATCCCAGGACATTGACTACTGGACTCTCTCTGTGTTAGCTGACTCCTGAGTTCTACCATCCTTCTACTGACCCAATGTTTTGAAGGTTTTACTTTGGGAAAGATCTGTTTCAACGTATAAACAATCTACATGTGTTCTTTGAAAGAACCATTTATTTAACTATCGATTTTCATTGTTTCTTTTCAGCAATTACAATTTTTCTCTCCTGTATCACATACGAAATTGGAAAGGATCTTTTCAGCAATTACGATTTTTCTCTTCCTGTATCATACAGGAAATTGGAAAGGACTTCATGGAATTAGTAGTCAGGAATAGCCAACTCAGGTACATTAGTAGAGGTTAGTTGATAGAGATGTTTGCCTTTCTTCTCACTCCTGGTTGGAAAATCTGTTGACTGTGAGACATCCTTTATATTAAGCAGGACAGGCTAGAAAACAGGAGCCATGGGTGGAGCTGGGGGTGAGCTCACCACTGTTCAACTTTTTTGTCCATGACAAACTGCCCATGAGGGCCCTCGGCATCTGGAGGCAAAAGGGCCAAGTACACGGGGGTCTCTGCTCCTTCTTCTGGGCTCTTGGTGGCGTTGGGTCCCCCCATGTCAGTTCTCACCCACCCTGGGCAGCAAGCATTCACGAGGATCTTGTCCCCTCCCCTGTGCTCACTCAGGTGCCTGGCCTGGATTCTGGACAAGACAGTGACGCCCATCTTGGTCACTCCATAGGCAGTGTCAGGCCAGCCTTCTGTCTGGTGCACCCCCTTCTTCGTGTCTTCCACGAACTTCTTCATGAGCCCCACCAGCTCCTCCTCCGTGATGGTCTCACTGCGAAACTTCTGCTGCAGCTCCGGGCTGCAGGATTTAAGGGCTCTGAGACATGTCATGCTGGACACGTTCACCACTCTGCCTAAAATACACCAGAAATCACTATCAGGAGAGGCTTGCACAGGACGGCTGGAGCCCAAAGGCGCTGGGATTTGAGACCAGAAAACTTCTTCTTGAGAAACAAAGGCCAGTGTGCATTCTAAGAGCAGCAGGCATGGATGGTGCAGTCGGTGCGTAAGAAACTATTTGTACCTTCAAGAATTCAATCAGTAGAGGAAGCAGGTGAATTGGAAAGAGAACCAGAGTCTTGGATGAAGTAGAACCTTTCAAGAGGACAGGACAGGAAAACAAGATAGGAGTTGAGAGTAAACTATACGTGCACGTCCTCACTGTAAACCACTCATTTCCACCCTTTGAGAAGTGGCTGCCATTCTTTCTTGGTGTGATGTGCTGAGTGACAGTTCACCTCCTGTCTCATTACTTGGGATTAGTGCAGCACTTCACAACAAAGAAATAGGATCGTGCGCACATCAAGAACAATGAGTGCACTGAATAGCAGGGAATATGAGCATGGAGTTAGGCAGGGTCAGATTATGGAATCCCTGTGAACCGTGGTGAGATCTGTACTTTGCTCCTGGAGGACTTCTGAGAGGGGTGGCCATCAGAGCCTGTGTAGGAAGCCAAGAAAGGAAAGGACCCAAGAAGAGACGTCTCTTAGGGGGGTTGCAGCTGTGCAGAAGCCCACGGGAAGGCCAGCTCTGCAGCTGGGAGCAATGGGCGGGGAGAGAGTGAGTGGCACAACCTTGGGACCTGTAGTGACTGTGAGGTCTCTGTGCAGGGTGACCTCCAGGACCTGGTGGGTGGCCAGGGTGACGCAGGAGGATGATGACTGTTCTCTGGAAATGTGTTAGCTGGGGAGGGGCATCAGGAGGAGGAGAGGAAGGAGGAACTCCAGGAGTACCCTAGGCAGGTGACAGAGTTTAGGGGGATGATGGATGGCTGTAGGAAGCCTCTGTTAGCCTGAGAGGGCACAGGGGTCCACCTTAGGGCCTCCAACATGAGTGGGCATGGGGGAAATAAAGAGTCTCCCAGGGACTACAGGGTCAGAAGGCGCCAGGTCTGCCAAGAGCAGAGACCGCAGGGGCAGTGCAGGAGCGGGGACGACGTCCTGACCCAGGACAGCCCCTGGCAGGGGCGGCAGCAGGCTGGTGCAGCTGGAGCAGGACAGGCAGCAGGGATGGAGCTGAGAGCCCGGGCAGCAGGGCCAGCTCCCTCCTGAAGGCACAGCGTGGGGTCCCCAGGAGGCTCACCTCCGGGCCTCATGAGAGGCAGCAGCTCTGTGCAGACATCTCGGGTACCATCAAAGTTTGTCTTCATAGTCACTTCCGCTTGAATATGAAAGGGCGTGGTATCCTCCACTTTTAGGGCAGAGAGAACACGGTCAATTAACAGCAAGCACAGGGGACCACTCCATTTAGTAGAACGGCGTGAGACATGGGTGACTTCTGAGTTGTGTCTGGGTGCAGTCACAGCATCGCGCCAGCGTCTATCCCTGCTTTGACCTCGGCCTCTGTATGAGACGGCAGCACTGGGAGAGGCTGGGCAAAGCCTGCTGGCCTGGGCTCTGGATTTAACCAGTTCCAATTTACTTATTCCAGAAGCAGCTTAAAATCTGCCCCACACCCTGACGCCAATCCCCTAGAAACTGTGAAGAAAATCTTCAAGGGCCGGCGCCACGGCTCACTAGGCTAATCCTCCGCCTTGCGGCGCTGGCACCCCAGGTTCTAGTCCTGGTCGGGGCGCCGGATTCTGTCCTGGTTGCCTCTCTTCCAGGCCAGCTCTCTGCTGTGGTCCGGGAGTGCTGTGGAGGATGGCCCAGGTCCTTGGGCCCTGCACCCCATAGGAGACCAGGAGAAGCACCTGGCTCCTGGCTTTGGATCAGCGCGGTGCGCTGGTCGCAGTGCGCCGGCTGCGGTGGCCCTTGGAGGGTGAACCAAGGGCAAAGGAAGATCTTTCTCTCTGTCTCTCTCTCTTACTCTCCACTCTGCCTGTAAAAAAAAAAAAAAAAAAAGAAAAAAGAAAATCTTGCAGCCAAGGAAACACAAAGGACACAAAGGTCTCTGTGGCTGGACTCTGTGCCTCCCCCACCCCATTCAGCCTCCTGAAAGGCCCAGTGCCCACCCCAGGCTCCTCCGACAGGCGCGGCCCACACTGGCTGGAGGTTCTGGGCCATCCCACCCCGCGCGCCCCCGCCCTCACTTTTGAAGGCGATGGCCGCGTTGTTGACCAGCACGTTGAGGCCCCCGTACTCCCGGCGCAGGAAGTCGCGCAGGGCGCGGATGCTCTGCAGGTCCGTGATGTCCAGCTGGTGGAAGCGCGGGCTCAGGCCCTCGGCCTGCAGCTGCTGCACGGCGGCCTGGCCCTGCGCCTCGTCCTGCGCCGTGAGAAGCACGTCCCCTGAGAAGAGCCGGCACAGGGCGCGTGTGATGGCGAAGCCGACGCCCTTGTTGGCGCCGGTCACCAGCGCCACGCGGCGGTCACTCGGCATCGCTGGGCTGTCACCGCTGGACCACTGCGTGGAGAACAACCCAGGAGCAGAGCCTGTGCTACGCAGGTTGTCCGGGAGTCCAGGCAGGTCTGGAGCCCGCTGGGTGCGCGCCGGGAGTCTTGAATGCAGTGAGCTTAGCGAGTGCGCCAGCGCAGGCCCAGCCTCAGAAAAGCTTGATTTTTTTATACCTCCTCATCGCGAGGAGATGGACAACAGGAGCGACCTCGGTGGACCTTGCGAAACCTGCAGGGGGAAAGGGAATGTTTGAGAGTAGGGTTACGCAATAAACTCGGAGGAAAATTACAGGGGATCAGCTTCTGTCGGGTCCCTCCCTGAGCGCATGGAAGCTAAGCTCCTGAGAGTGCTTGGCCAGGTTTTCCTCTTGCAGTGGGACGCGTTTAGGGAAGCAGCGTGCAGTGTGCTGTCTGCGCGCGCCTGGAGCGCCATCGCCTTACCTGGCTGGGTCCTGCGGTGCACAGGTGTGAGGGGGCCTCGCAGCCCTGTTTTATACACTCAGTGTGTGCGAGTGCACCTTTATATCCCCATTCAAAATGAAGAAATGGATACATCCTCGGGGGTTTATAAATGGCTCAGCGGTGGGAAATGCATTGTCCTCCCTGCTTCCAACAAAGGGATAAGTGACTTGAAGGTCAATTTAATTTCTGTGTCATCGCATTGGTTGCCACTAGGCACACGTGTCCGTTTCAATGTCAGCTTCAGTGAGCGGCATTCATGCAATGAAAAATGTCGTTGCAATAGCCACATTCTAGATGGGCAATGTTCGTGTGCCACCGTGGCCACTGTTGTGGTCTGGGCAGATATAGGATGTGTCCATTCTTGAAGAAGGTTCTGAGGAAGGTGCTTCTGACAGATTCTACGAATGCTGCTATTTTAATGCAGGTTTCTGATCAGTGGCTTGGCAGAATTTAAACTGGGAAAGGCCCTTGCTCTTCTTTCTGGCTGTTAGTGTTATTAAGATAGTTTAGCTTCACATGTAGTTGTACAATACAATCCAGGGATTTCTTAGGCTTTATCCAGTTCCATTTTGTGTTCACAATTTTTTTTTTAAAACTGCAGTACAATACCACAGTGAGCCATTTGACAACAAAATAATCCTCCATCCTATTCGGAGCTCCCTAGTCTTAGGAGTGTTTGGTCTAGCGCAGTTTCATCCCGTGCAGTTTTGCGTTTCCACCACTGCAGTCCAGATCGGACCTTGGCACCCGCACCAGGAGCCCCTGTGGCTCTGGTAGAACTAAAGCACTCTCCCGGAGCCCCGACCCAGTTCCCGCCTCTGACGGCTTTGCATGTGCTCAGCCTTTCTACCATTTTGTTGTTTCAAATGTTACACGTATGAACTTATACAACGTGTATCCTTATGGATTTTTTTCTATTCAGGGTAATTAAGAACATTATTGCTTCCTTCTCTCAGTGAATGTTTGCTCTGTTCGTGGCTGGCTTTTTTCCACACCATTAATTACTTTCTTCTGTAGCTGGGTATGCAGTTATTAGAAGAAGAAAGTGGGATGGATTAAATTTGCTCATAGCCATCAAAGATAGAACAGGCTGTTCAGGGAACTCTGGGCCTGGGAGCCTCCTGATATTTCAAATCACAAACTCTAGGAGGGACGTGAAGTAGGATCTTCACTCTGATCTGTGTTTACTTTAGGACAGTCGTTCAATGGGGGAAGCATGCTCCATAAAATGCAGTCTAAAAATATTAGGCATTAATGAAAATTCAGTATATGATATAGGTGGCATTAACAGTTAGTGGAGGAAAGAAATAAATTTTCTAAAATTGGTCTAGAGAAAGGAAGTGGTGATCAGAAAAAAAATTACAACATACACCAAGTAATTTGTAAAGTGAGAGAAGAAAGCTGATTTACAAATGAAACCATAAAAATTGTATTTTTACTGTATGTAAAGATCTTTATAAGCATGGGAATAGGGGAGGAATCATAGGGGAAGTGACTGACAGATTTCACTAGAAGATATTTTTTGAAAATTTGTTCTTGAAAATCATGAGAATTTAAACCCACGCTTAAGCTCTACGTGAATGATTTTGTATTTTGGATCTTAATTCTAGTGGTGTGTTTGTGAGGGGCCCCATCCCTGGGACCTTGTCTGGGTTCTAAGCAAATCAAAATAAAATCAAAGAGTAAAGATGGGAGTTCCTGACACTGCTTAGTGGTGGACATTGGCGTACTGAGACCAGCCTGGCAGCTGTGTGGAGAAAGAATCGTATCACATCTGTTGTGGAATAACCTTCACACCTTTAATGCACTTTACCTGGTTTGAGCAGTTATTTTATTTTTCTTAAAGAGCACTGGTGCATGGTGTCGATTCAAATAGAAAATGTTGGCACAGGATTTTGTTAAATTATGAATTGTGAAGCCTCAGGGGCTTTCCTGGCTCACGAACTTCACTTGACACTGTCTTTTCTCCTTTCACTTTTTGCTTATCTGAGGTGCTCAGTACAGCATGGACTTTGGCTCCTGGATTCAAACCGCGGCCCAAATGCTTACTAGTTATGTAATTCTAAACAATTTAGTCAGTCCTGCCAAAGGTGAACCAAGCCATGTACCCGTGAAAGTGTTCAGGACAGCTTTTAATCAGCAACGTGTTATTGCAATAATAAGCTGGCCTAGTGGAAGCTGAACTCAATTTTTATTTGTAGAGGACAGAGGGTAGATTTTAAAGGGAGAATGAGAGACCTGAAAGGGGGAACGGTGGGGCTTGAGCAATCAGGGACAGAAAAATTACAGAGGGCTGGTTTATATAAATGCTGGTTAACGGCCATGTCTGTTAGTTGACAATTAGCAAAATGAAAATTCTGTCCCACTAAAAAGACTGAAAGAGGATCTGTCATTTCTGATGATTGCATTTTTTTTAAACTTTTATTTAATGAATATAGATTTCCAAAGTACAGCTTATGGACTACATTGGAATCCCCCTTGCCCCTCGATGACTTCCCTCCCACCCGCAACCCTCCCCTTTCCCGCTCTCTCTCCCCTTCCATTCATATCAAGATTCATTTTCAATTTTCTATATATACAGAAGATCAGTTTAGTATACATTAAGTAAAGATTTCAACAGTTTGCACCCACATAGAATCACAAAGTGAAATATACTGTTTGAGTACTAGTTATAGCATTAAATCTGAATGTACAGTGCATTAAGGACAGAGATCCTACATGAGGAGTAAGTGCACAGTGACTCCTGTTGTTGACTTTACAAATTGACACTCCTGTTTATGGCATCAGTAATCTCTCTATGCTCCAGTCATGAGTTTCCAAGGCTATGGAAACCTTTTGAGTTCTCCGACTCTTATCTTGTTTAGACAAGGTCATAGTCAAAGTGGAGGTTCTCTCCTCCCTTCAGAGAAAGGTACCTCCTTCTTTGAAGACCTGTTCTTTCCACTGGGATCTCACTCACAGAGATCTTTCATTTAGATAACTTTGTTATCTTTGATGCTCATCATAATAACCAGAGGGTCCTTGGAGATCCATGGCCTGAAATATTCTCATGGGCTTTTCAGTCGGATCCAAATGGCTTTAGGGCTGATTCTGAGGCCAGAGTGCTGTTTAGGACATCTGCCATTCTATGAGTCTGCTGTGTATCTCACTTCCCATGTTGGATCACTCTCCCCTTTATTTATTCTATCGGTTAGTATTAGCAGGTACTAGACTTGTTTATGTGATCCCTTTGACTCTTAGTCCTTTCATTATTATCAATTGTGAACTGAAATTGATCACTTGGACTAGTGAGATGGCATTGGTACATGCCACCTTGATGGGATTGAATTGGAATCCCCTGGTATGTTTCTAACTCTACCATTTGGGGCAAGTCAGCTTCAGCATGTCCCAAATTGTACATCTCTTCCCTCTCTTATTCCTACCATTATGGTTAACAGGGATCACATTTCAGTTAAATTTCAACACTTAAGAATAACTGTGTATTAATTACAGAATTAAACCAGTCATATTAAGTAGAACAGACAAAAAATATACTAAGAGGGATAATGTATTAAGTTGTTCATTAACAGTCAGGGCTATGCTGATCAAGTCACTGTTTCTCATAGTGTCCATTTCACTTCAACAGGTTTCCTTTTTGGTGTTCAGTCAGTTGTCACCGATCAGGGAGAACATATGGTATTTGTCCCTTTGGGACTGGCTTATTTCACTCAGCATGATGTGTTCCAGATTCCTCCATTTTGTTGCAAATGACCGGGTTTCATTGTTTTTGACTGCTGTATAGTATTCTAAAGAGTACATGTCCCATAATTTCTTTATCCAGTCTACCGTTGATGGGCATTTAGGTTGGTTCCAGGTCTTGGCTATTGTGAATTGTGCTGCAGTAAACATTAGGGTGCAGACCGCTTTTTTGTTTGCCAATTTAAATTCCTTTGGGTAAATTCCAAGGAGTGGGATGGCTGGGTCGAACGGTAGGGTTATATTCAGGTTTCTGAGGAATCTCCAGACTGACTTCCATAGTGGCTTGACCAGTTTGCATTCCCACCAACAGTGGGTTAGTGTCCCTTTTTCCCCACATCCTCGCCAGCATCTGTTGTTGGTAGATTTCTGTATGTGAGCCATTCTAACTGGGGTGAGGTGAAACCTCATTGTGGTTTTGATTTGCATATCCCTGATTGCTAGTGATCTTGAACATTTTTTCATGTGTCTGTTGGCCATTTGGATTTCCTCTTTTGAAAAATGTCTATTGAGGTCCTTGGCCCATCTCTTAAGTGGGTTGTTTGTTTTGTTTTTGTGGAGTTTCTTGATCTCTTTGTAGATTCTGGTTATTAACACTTTATCAGTTGCATAGTTTGCAAATATATTTTCCCATTCTGTCGGTTGTCTCTCACTTTCCTGACTGTTTCTTTTGCAGTACAGAAACTTCTCAATTTGATGCAATCCCAATATTTGATTTTGGCTTTGACTGCCTGTGCCTCCCGGGTCTTTTCCAGAAACTCTTTGCCTGTGCCAATATCTTGAAGGGTTTCTCCAATGTTCTCTAATAACTTGATGGTGTCAGGTTGTAGATTGAGGTCTTTAATCCACGTTGAGTGGATTTTTGTGTAAGGTGTAAGGTAGGGGTCTTGCTTCATGCTTCTGCACATGG